TAAATATATGCAGTAACTATTTTTGCTCTAGGCAACTCAAGGGCTCAGGTAATGTGATTACTAGATGAATAATGGTCCAAAATAACATTAAATGCATAGGGTCTTTTGTTAAGTAACATACTTTCGTCGCCGGCCGGCCGATACATGCCGCGCATTAAGTGGGCCTGTCTGTCAATTAATCCCCGGGCCACTTTTTCCCCCCAGTCCGCCCCGGAGTGTAACTCATTACATTTCAGATAAAGTAATATTGTAATGTAACTAATTACTTTAAAAAGACAGTAATAAGTAATATATTACATTTTGGAAGTAACTTGCCCAACACTGCTCCTGACACACCGGACACATAGTGATGTAGAAAAGACATCAGAGAGTGCATTTAGTTTGATAGGAGAGCTTTCAAACCAAACGCCTGAACCTCGTTCATCGTGGCTCAAACAGACCAACTCTTCTCTAAACAGGAGGAGACATTTCCCACGATAACAATAACAATAACATGTAAAAAAAATGAATAATAATAATAAATCCACACTTTGATGAAAAAAACCATGTTTTATTTTTAAAAGAAATTTTACAAAAACATTAAATAATCTGATATTTTCATATTTACACTAAACACATCTTTGAATCCCTTCCCAATAAAAGTCCTGCAAATGTCAAACAAGCTTCGGCTCTTCTGATTGGCTGTCATCCCTGTCTGCTTCCTCATTGGCTGCTGCCGGCTCAGGGGGTGGAGCCTCGTCCTCGGTCTGCCGGGCCGTCCGAAACAAACGCATCAAATCCCGAAACCGCCGCGACACCTAGAGACACGAGAAGAGTTACTCACACTGTCGACCAATCACAGCGCAGACAGAAAACAGAACAGCCAATCACCTCGCTCGGAGACTTGTTGCCAAGCAGAGAAGAGACGGCCTGAAAAGTGCTCTGATTGGCTCCTTCCTGCTGACACGTCGTCAAAATGACCCGGTCTGCCTCTCTGAAAAACAACAGCCATCGACAACGCTTTTATTATATTGTTGTTATTGTTGTTGTTATTGTAGTTGTTGTTGTTGTTATTATTACCTGGTCCACAGGATGACCTTCTCTCCGCTCGCTGTCAGAGAAATGTTCTTGGCAGGCTGGTTAGAGGAGGTGAGGGAGGGGGATAATGGCTGGTTAGAGGAGGGGGATAATGGCTGGTTAGAGGAGGGGGATAATGGCTGGTTAGAGGAGGGGGATAATGGCTGGTCAGAGGAGGTGAGGGAGGGGGATAATGGCTGGTTAGAGGAGGTGAGGGAGGGGGATAATGGCTGGTCAGAGGAGGTGAGGGAGGGGGATAATGGCTGGTTAGAGGAGGTGAGGGAGGGGGATAATGGCTGGTTAGAGGAGGTGAGGGAGGGGGATAATGACTGGTTAGAGGAGGGGGATAATGGCTGGTTAGAGGAGGGGAGGGAGGGGGATAATGGCTGGTTAGAGGAGGTAAGGGAGGGGGATAATGGCTGGTTAGAGGAGGGGGATAATGGCTGGTTAGAGGAGGTGACGGAGGGGGATAATGGCTGGTTAGAGGAGGGGGATAATGGCTGGTTAGAGGAGGGGGATAATGGCTGGTTAGAGGAGGGGGATAATGGCTGGTTAGAGGAGGTGAGGGAGGGGGATAATGGCTGGTTAGAGGAGGTGAGGGAGGGGGATAATGGCTGGTCAGAGGAGGTGAGGGAGGGGGATAATGGCTGGTTAGAGGAGGGGAGGGAGGGGGATAATGGCTGGTTAGAGGAGGGGGATAATGGCTGGTTAGAGGAGGTGAGGGAGGGGGATAATGGCTGGTTAGAGGAGGGGGATAATGGCTGGTTAGAGGAGGTGAGGGAGGGGGATAATGGCTGGTTAGAGGAGGGGGATAATGGCTGGTCAGAGGAGGTGAGGGAGGGGGATAATGGCTGGTTAGAGGGAGGGGGATAAGGCTGGTAGAGGAGGAGGGGGGGATAATGGCTGGTTAGAGGAGGGGGATAATGGCTGGTTAGAGGAGGTGAGGGAGGGGGATAATGGCTGGTTAGAGGAGGGGGATAATGGCTGGTCAGAGGAGGTGAGCGAGGGGGACAAAGAGGGGGAGATAACAGGTGAGCACCCCCCCACCTCCTCCATCCTGCTCCTCTTCACCGTTGGACTGGACTCCTCACTGGTCTTCCTCTCCTCCTCTTCTTCTTCTTCTTCTTCCTCATCCTCCAGCTCCTCCTCTTCCTCGTCCTCCTCTTCCTCCTTCTCATCAATCAGAGGGAATGAGCCTTCCCATGATGCACTGCTGTGACCTGAGGACGAGACAGGACAGTTATGAGACATTGGGGGTACGTCCTCTACTGACCCAGAACCCTCAGGGTCCAGTTCCCAACATGTCCCCCCAGCACAGGTCCAGTTCCCAACATGTCCCCCCAGCACAGGTCCAGTTCCCAACATGTCCCCCCAGCTCAGGTCCAGTTCCCAACATGTCCCCCCAGCACAGGTCCAGTTCCCAACATGTCCCCCCAGCACAGGTCCAGTTCCCAACATGTCCCCCCAGCACAGGTCCAGTTCCCAACATGTCCCCTCAACACAGGTCCAGTTCCGAACATGTCCCCCCAGCACAGGTCCAGTTCCCAACATGTCCCCCCAGCACAGGTCCAGTTCCCAACATGTCCCCCCAGCTCAGGTCCAGTTGCCAACATGTCCCCCCCAGCACAGGTCCAGTTGCCAACATGTCCCCCCAGCACAGGTCCAGTTCCCAACATGTCCCCCCAGCACAGGTCCAGTTCCCAACATGTCCCCCCAGCACAGGTCCAGTTCCCAACATGTCCCCCCAGCACAGGTCCAGTTCCCAACATGTCCCCCCAGCTCAGGTCCAGTTGCCAACATGTCCCCCCAGCACAGGTCCAGTTGCCAACATGTCCCCCCAGCACAGGTCCAGTTCCCAACATGTCCCCCCAGCACAGGTCCAGTTCCCAACATGTCCCCCCAGCACAGGTCCAGTTCCCAACATGTCCCCCCAGCACAGGTCCAGTTCCCAACATGTCCCCCCAGCACAGGTCCAGTTCCCAACATGTCCCCCCAGCACAGGTCCAGTTCCCAACATGTCCCCCTAGCACAGGTTCAGTTCCCAACATGTCCCCCCAGCACAGGTCCAGTTCCCAACATGTTCCCCCAGCACAGGTCCAGTTCCCAACATGTCCCCCCAGCACAGGTCCAGTTCCCAACATGTCTCCCCAGCACAGGTCCAGTTCCCAACATGTCCCCCGAGCACAGGTCCAGTTCCCAACATGTCCCCCGAGCACAGGTCCAGTTCCCAACATGTCCCCCCAGCACAGGTCCAGTTCCCAACATGTCCCCCCAGCACAGGTCCAGTTCCCAACATGTCCCCCCAGCTCAGGTCCAGTTGCCAACATGTCCCCCCAGCACAGGTCCAGTTCCCAACATGTCCCCCCAGCACAGGTCCAGTTCCCAACATGTCCCCCCAGCACAGGTCCAGTTCCCAACATGTCCCCCCAGCACAGGTCCAGTTGAACCCAGTTACCTGGTGGCGGGCTGTCGTCCCCCTTCAGGTCCTTATCACCTGGATGGAGGTGGGCGGGGCTTATCTGTGCGTACAGAGGGTCCAGCCTCTTCATCGCTCGGGACACGCCCCCTGGTGCCTTGTTGCCGTGGCAATGCAAGCATCCTTTCCTGTGGTGTCTGCGGTTATCCGACCAATCACAGTCCTGGAACATCAGAGTTATTTTAACTTTGGTTAGTGACTAGACTCTGGTTGCTATGAGCAGAGCGTATTAACTTGCGTGTATTAAATGATATTAACTGATTTAATTATTACTTAGTAGAGACATTATTGGGATGAGTGAAGTTAGTGGGTTTATGTCCAGAGGGGCCTCATCACTGAAGCTAGCCTCAATGTTTTCACACCTTGTAGTTCCTGTGGGCGTCCATCTTCCTCCTCTGGCGCCGGCTCGTCATTGGCTGGATCTTAAGCCCCTCCTCTTCTTCTTCCAGCTCCGGGAGCGTCACTTCCTCGAAGCCGCTGCTGGCTCCGCCTCCTAACAAGATGCCGACGCCCTCTCCACAGTCTGGCCCGCCCCCTCCTTCCTCCGGCCAATGAGCTTCCTCAAACTGTCCCGGGCGTGCTGGAGGGGGGCGGAGCTCGTCGAAAAATACCCAGAATTCAGCTTGGAGATGGGTGTGGCCTTTCAGCAGCGCGGCCATCTGAGCCTTCAGCTGGAAAACAAATAGAGATGATGAGCTTTTGAGTGTTGGGTGGTGTAGAGCTGGTGTTGGGTGGTGTAGAGCTAGTGTTGGGTGGTGTAGAGCTAGTGTTGGGTGGTGTAGAGCTAGTGTTGGGTGGTGTAGAGCTGGTGTTGGGTGGTGTAGAGCTAGTGTTGGGTGGTGTAGAGCTGGTGTTGGGTGGTGTAGAGGTGGTGTAGAGCTAGTGTTGGGTGGTGTAGAGGTGGTGTAGAGCTAGTGTTGGGTGGTGTAGAGCTAGTGTTGGGTGGTGTAGTGGTGGTGTAGAGCTAGTGTTGGGTGGTGTAGAGCTAGTGTTGGGTGGTGTAGTGGTGGTGTAGAGCTAGTGTTGGGTGGTGTAGAGGTGGTGTAGAGCTAGTGTTGGGTGGTGTAGAGGTGGTGTAGAGCTAGTGTTGGGTGGTGGAGAGCTAGTGTTGGGTGGTGTAGTGGTGGTGTAGAGCTAGTGTTGGGTGGTGGAGAGCTAGTGTTGGGTGGTGTAGTGGTGGTGTAGAGCTAGTGTTGGGTGGTGTAGAGGTGGTGTAGAGCTAGTGTTGGGTGGTGTAGAGCTAGTGTAGAGGTGTAGAGCTAGTGTTGGGTGGTGTAGAGCTAGTGTTGGGTGGTGTAGAGGTGGTGTAGAGCTAGTGTTGGGTGGTGTAGTGGTGTAGAGCTAGTGTTGGGTGGTGTAGTGGTGGTGTAGAGCTAGTGTTGGGTGGTGTAGTGGTGGTGTAGAGCTAGTGTTGGGTGGTGTAGAGGTGGTGTAGAGCTAGTGTTGGGTGGTGTAGTGGTGGTGTAGAGCTAGTGTTGGGTTGTGTAGTGGTGTAGAGCTAGTGTTGGGTGGTGTAGAGGTGGTGTAGAGCTAGTGTTGGGTGGTGTAGAGGTGGTGTAGAGCTAGTGTTGGGTGGTGTAGTGGTGGTGTAGAGCTAGTGTTGGGTGGTGTAGTGGTGTAGAGCTAGTGTTGGGTGGTGTAGAGCTAGTGTTGGGTGGTGTAGAGCTAGTGTTGGGTGGTGTAGAGGTGGTGTAGAGCTAGTGTTGGGTGGTGTAGAGCTAGTGTTGGGTGGTGTAGAGCTAGTGTTGGGTGGTGTAGAGCTAGTGTTGGGTGGTGTAGTGGTGTAGAGTTGGCTGGTGTTGGGTGGTGTAGAGTTGGCTGGTGTTGGGTGGTGTAGAGGTGGTGTAGTGGTGTAGAGCTAGTGTTGGCTGGTGTTGGGTGGTGTAGAGGTGGTGTAGAGCTAGTGTTGGGTGGTGTAGAGCTAGTGTTGGGTGGTGTAGAGCTAGTGTTGGGTGGTGTAGTGGTGTAGAGGTGGTGTAGTGGTGTAGAGGTGGTGTAGAGGTGGTGTTGAGGTTGGGTGGTGTAGTGGTGTAGAGGTGGTGTAGAGGTGGTGTTGAGGTTGGGTGGTGTAGTGGTGTAGAGGTGGTGTAGTGTTGGGTGGTGTAGAGGTGGTGTAGAGGTGGTGTAGAGGTTGGGTGGTGTAGGGCTAGTGTTGGGTGGTGTATAGGTGGTGTTGGGTGGTGTATAGGTGGTGTAGGGCTAGTGTTGGGTGGTGTAGTGGTGTAGAGGTGGTGTAGAGCTGGTGTTGGGTGGTGTAGTGGTGTAGAGGTGGTGTAGTGGTGTATAGGTGGTGTAGAGGTGGTGTAGTGGTGTAGAGCTAGTGTTGGGTGGTGTATAGGTGGTGTAGGGCTAGTGTTGGGTGGTGTAGTGGTGTAGAGGTGGTGTAGAGCTGGTGTTGGGTGGTGTAGTGGTGTAGAGGTGGTGTAGTGGTGTATAGGTGGTGTAGTGGTGTAGTGGTGTAGAGGTGGTGTTGGGTGGTGTATAGGTGGTGTAGGGCTAGTGTTGGGTGGTGTAGTGGTGTAGAGGTGTAGAGGTGGTGTAGAGGTTGGGTGGTGTAGAGGTGGTGTTGGGTGGTGTATAGGTGGTGTAGGGCTAGTGTTGGGTGGTGTAGTGGTGTAGAGGTGGTGTAGAGGTGGTGTAGAGGTGGTGTAGAGGTGGTGTAGAGGTGGTGTAGAGGTGGTGTTGGGTGGTGTACCTCGTGGATGCTGCTGGGACTCAGGTCTGGGCCGGTCTGCAGAGCTTTGATGATCTTCTGATAATGTGATGGATTATCTCCAAAACTGATCTCTAACTGTCGCAGGAAACGCCGGCTGCGCTCAAACGCCTGCTGCTCCTCAAACTGCAGGAGGACAGTCACATCAATCATTAGTTACACGTTACCAACACCTTGTCCATGATTTATTAACCAAAGTTATGATGATCAAACAAAAAGTGTGACGAAGGTCCAGAAATATGTTAAAAACGTGGGAATTAAACATTCCTTAGAATACTTTTTTAAATATGCAAAAAAAGTCCAACAAAATCTTGAAATTGAACGTCGCAGAAAGTTCTAAATGTAAGCAAAGAATTCACAAAATATATGAGAAAGATATTACCTACAAAATAACATACTTGAGATAATATCCAGGTGTGATCTCTCAGGTGTGACTGTGTTATTTCTAGGTGCACCTGAGATAATACACTGAGGTAATACACCTGAGGTAATACACCTGAGGTAATACACCTGAGGTAATACACCTGAGGTAATACACCTGAGGTAATACACCTGAGATAATACACCTGAGGTAATACACCTGAAGTAATACACCTGAGGTAATACACCTGAGATAATACACCTGAGGTAATACACCTGAGGTAATACACCTGAGGTAATACACCTGAGGTAATACACCTGAGGTAATACACCTGAAGTAATACACCTGAGATAATACACCTGAAGTAATACACCTGAGATAATACACCTGTGCTTACCAGTCCACACTGCAGCGCCTGCTCAGGATGCAGGAATGCAGCGAAGTCTCGGAGGAGGTCTGTCCGATCTCCCAGGATGCAGCGCAGCTTCCTGAACAACAGCATAACTTCCTGTCCTTCGCCCACCTGCTCGAAGTCGTTCAGGAGAGACACGAACTCCTCCACCTGTCCAGGCACGTCCTGCAGCGCTTCACGCACCTGGACACACAGAATGGTCACATACAGTTACCTGAAGCTACATGCTACATAAAAGCAGTGGCGACTACACAGCCCCACCTAGTGTCAGCAGAAAGTATTAAAAATGATTATTACAAAAAAAATGCAAAAGAATATATATAAATATTAAATATATTTTAAGATCATGTTTAATCATCTGATTCGTCTGCACATTGCTGTTTTAGTCTGTGTTCTTCTAATTAGTGTGTCTACAGTCACAGTGTGTGCCTATTGAGCTGTTTGGAGCCATGTGGGACAAAACCTGATCATGCCCCTCCCTCTCGCTGTGAAGTGAACGGTGACTGTAAAAACTACACTGCGCATGCTCAGAGTATTTTCCTATTTAATGTGTGTGGCAAAAAAATAATGACCATAGGGGCACGGAGCTACCATCCCCACCATACGTCATCTCACATCATTCAGAGCTGATTGGCTGTAAGTACGTGTGCCGCGAAAAGTGTGGTGTGTGAAGAGGAGACGAGAGAGCTGCAGTGACGCGTCCTAAAACCAGGAAGTAAGCTGCGCTTGGCTTCCCTCGACAAAAAAGCAATGAGGTTTCTCCAGAGGATTTTAGAAAATAGCTGGAAATAAGATCTGTGGGAAACGTACCTGTTAGATAAATGCACGTTTTGATTAGCCGGATAACATCCACATGTCTACCCTACTTTTATCATTTTTTTATCATAAATCTATGGATTAGATTTATGATAGACTTTTGAAACTACAAGAAGATAAGGAGGACTTTTACAAAAAAGATATAGAAATGTTTGTCCAGGAGGATAGGCAAATGGACTTCATCTTCAAGTCAAGGTAAGACCACAATTTGATTGCAAATGGGATCTTACTAAGAGAGAACAATTCAATATTTAAATGATAAAATTACATTTTTTGGGTATCCTTTTGTTGAACTGTCTGTTTAAAATTAATCGAAGCATCAGACAAAAAAAGCTTTTGAAAATAATATTATATTTTGGTTTAGGTCAAAATATAATATTTGTAAACCTGAAGAGTCAGAGCCTCAGCAGCCATGAACCTCACTGCACGTCACTGCAGAAGCTTATATATAGACATCTACGTTTTTTGTGCCCCACCACTTTTGTACATATAAAAACACCACTGCATACAAGCCATGAAAACTTTTTTAAAAAGTGGTCGCGAGTGCTGAGTCGTGTTCTGTTTGCCGAGTCATGTTTTAATGCTGACTCGTGTTGTGCTGAGTCAGGTTTAGATGCTGAGTCATGTTGTGCTGAGTCAGGTTTAGATGCTGAGTCATGTTGTGCTGAGTCAGGTGTAGATGCTGAGTCGTGTTCTGCTGAGTCGTGTTGTGCTGAGTCGTGTTCTGTTTGCCGAGTCGTGTTTTGCTTGCTGAGTCGTGTCGTGTTTTGCTGAGTCGTGTTTTGCTGAGTCGTGCTGTGCTGAGTCGTGTTGTGCTGAGTCGTGTTCTGTTTGCTGAGTCGTGTTGTGCTGAGTCGTGTTCCGTTTGCTGAGTCGTGTTTTGCTGAGTCGTGCTGTGCTGAGTCGTGTTCTGTTTGCTGAGTCGTGTTTTGCTGAGTCGTGTCGTGTTTTGCTGAGTCGTGTTTTGCTGAGTCGTGTTGTGCTGAGTCGTGTCGTGTTGTGCTGAGTCGTGTCGTGTTGTGCTGAGTCGTGCTGTGCTGAGTCGTGCTGTGCTGAGTCGTGTTCTGTTTGCTGAGTCGTGTTCTGTTTGCTGAGTCGTGTTGTGCTGAGTCGTGTTCTGCTGAGTCGTGTTCTGCTGAGTCGTGTTGTGCTGAGTCGTGTTCTGTTTGCCGAGTCGTGTTTTGCTTGCTGAGTCGTGTCGTGTTTTGCTGAGTCGTGTTTTGCTGAGTCGTGTTGTGCTGAGTCGTGTTCTGTTTGCTGAGTCGTGTTGTGCTGAGTCGTGTTCCGTTTGCTGAGTCGTGTGTTGCTGAGTCGTGCTGTGCTGAGTCGTGTTCTGTTTGCTGAGTCGTGTTTTGCTGAGTCGTGTCGTGTTTTGCTGAGTCGTGTTTTGCTGAGTCGTGCTGTGCTGAGTCGTGTTCCGTTTGCCGAGTCGTGTTTTGCTGAGTCGTGCTGTGCTGAGTCGTGTTCTGTTTGCTGAGTCGTGTTGTGCTGAGTCGTGTCGTGTTGTGCTGAGTCGTGTCGTGTTGTGCTGAGTCGTGCTGTGCTGAGTCGTGCTGTGCTGAGTCGTGTTCTGTTTGCTGAGTCGTGTTCTGTTTGCTGAGTCGTGTTGTGCTGAGTCGTGTCGTGTTGTGCTGAGTCGTGCTGTGCTGAGTCGTGTTCTGTTTGCTGAGTCGTGTTCTGCTGAGTCGTGTTTTGCTGAGTCGTGTTTTGCTGAGTCGTGTTGTGCTGAGTCGTGTTGTGCTGAGTCGAGTCGTGTTGTGCTGAGTCGTGTTGTGCTGAGTCGTGTTCTGTTTGCTGAGTCGTGTTCTGTTTGCTGAGTCGTGTTGTGCTGAGTCGTGTTGTGCTGAGTCGTGCTGTGCTGAGTCGTGTTGTGCTGAGTCGTGTTGTGCTGAGTCGTGCTGTGCTGAGTCGTGCTGTGCTGAGTCGTGTTCTGTTTGCTGAGTCGTGTTCTGCTGAGTCGTGTTCTGCTGAGTCGTGTTTTGCTGAGTCGTGTCGTGTTTTGCTGAGTCGTGTTGTGCTGAGTCGTGTTGTGCTGAGTCGTGTTGTGTTGTGCTGAGTCGTGTCGTGCTGAGTCGTGTTGTGCTGAGTCGTGTCGTGTTGTGCTGAGTCGTGTTGTGCTGAGTCGTGTTCTGTTTGCTGAGTCGTGTTTTGCTGAGTCGTGTCGTGTTGTGCTGAGTCGTGTTGTGCTGAGTCGTGTCGTGCTGAGTCGTGTTGTGCTGAGTCGTGTCGTGTTTTGCTGAGTCGTGTTGTGCTGAGTCGTGTTCTGTTTGCTGAGTCGTGTTCTGCTGAGTCGTGTTTTGCTGAGTCGTGTTTTGCTGAGTCGTGTTGTGCTGAGTCGTGTTGTGCTGAGTCGTGTCGTGTTGTGCTGAGTCGTGTTGTGCTGAGTCGTGTTGTGCTGAGTCGTGTTCTGTTTGCTGAGTCGTGTTCTGTTTGCTGAGTCGTGTTGTGCTGAGTCGTGTTGTGCTGAGTCGTGCTGTGCTGAGTCGTGTTGTGCTGAGTCGTGCTGTGCTGAGTCGTGCTGTGCTGAGTCGTGTTCTGTTTGCTGAGTCGTGTTCTGCTGAGTCGTGTTCTGCTGAGTCGTGTTTTGCTGAGTCGTGTCGTGTTTTGCTGAGTCGTGTTGTGCTGAGTCGTGTTGTGCTGAGTCGTGTTGTGCTGAGTCGTGTCGTGCTGAGTCGTGTTGTGCTGAGTCGTGTCGTGTTGTGCTGAGTCGTGTTGTGCTGAGTCGTGTTCTGTTTGCTGAGTCGTGTTTTGCTGAGTCGTGTCGTGTTGTGCTGAGTCGTGTTGTGCTGAGTCGTGTCGTGTTGTGCTGAGTCGTGTCGTGCTGAGTCGTGTCGTGTTGAGTCGTGTTCTGTTTGCTGAGTCGTGTTTTGCTGAGTCGTGTCGTGTTGTGCTGAGTCGTGTTGTGCTGAGTCGTGTTCTGTTTGCTGAGTCGTGTTGTGCTGAGTCGTGTCGTGCTGAGTCGTGTCGTGTTTTGCTGAGTCGTGTTTTGCTGAGTCGTGCTGTGCTGAGTCGTGTTTTGCTGAGTCGTGTCGTGTTGTGCCGAGTCGTGTTGTGTTTTGCTGAGTCGTGCTGTGCTGAGTCGTGTTGTGTTGTGCCGAGTCGTGTTTTGCCGAGTCGTGTCGTGTTGTGCCGAGTCGTGTTCTGTTTGCTGAGTCGTGTTGTGCTGAGTCGTGTTGTGCTGAGTCGTGTTGTGCTGAGTCGTGTTCTGTTTGCTGAGTCGTGTTGTGCTGAGTCGTGTCGTGTTTGCTGAGTCGTGTTGTGCTGAGTCGTGTTTTGCTGAGTCGTGTTGTGCTGAGTCGTGTTGTGCTGAGTCGTGTTCTGTTTGCTGAGTCGTGTTGTGCTGAGTCGTGTCGTGTTTTGCTGAGTCGTGTTGTGCTGAGTCGTGTTGTGCTGAGTCGTGTTTTGCTGAGTCGTGTTCTGCTGAGTCGTGTTGTGCCGAGTCGTGTTGTGCCGAGTCGTGTCGTGTTGTGCTGTCGTGTTGTGCCGAGTCGTGTCGTGTTGTGCCGAGTCGTGTTGTGCCGAGTCGTGTCGTGCCGAGTCGTGTCGTGTTTTGCCGAGTCGTGTCGTGTTTTGCCGAGTCGTGTCGTGTTTTGCCGAGTCGTGTCGTGCCGAGTCGTGTCGTGTTTTGCCGAGTCGTGTCGTGCCGAGTCGTGTCGTGTTTTGCCGAGTCGTGTCGTGTTGTGCCGAGTCGTGTCGTGTTTTGCCGAGTCGTGTCGTGCCGAGTCGTGTCGTGTTTTGCCGAGTCGTGTCGTGCCGAGTCGTGTTTTGCCGAGTCGTGTCGTGTTGTGCCGAGTCGTGTCGTGTTTTGTCGTGTCGTGTTCTGCTGAGTCGTGTTCTGCTGAGTCGTGTTCTGCTGAGTCGTGTTGTGCTGAGTCGTGTTGTGCTGAGTCGTGTCGTGTTGTGCCGAGTCGTGTCGTGTTGTGCCGAGTCGTGTTGTGCTGAGTCGTGTTCTGTTTGCTGAGTCGTGTTCTGCTGAGTCGTGTTCTGCTGAGTCGTGTTCTGCCGAGTCGTGTTGTGCCGAGTCGTGTCGTGTCGTGCCGAGTCGTGTTTTGCCGAGTCGTGTTTTGCCGAGTCGTGTTTTGCCGAGTCGTGTTTTGCCGAGTCGTGTCGTGTTTTGCCGAGTCGTGTTTTGCCGAGTCGTGTCGTGTTTTGCCGAGTCGTGTTTTGCCGAGTCGTGTCGTGCCGAGTCGTGTCGTGTTGTGCCGAGTCGTGTTGTGCCGAGTCATGTTCTGTTGTGCTGAGTTGTGTTGTGCCGAGTCGTGTTCTGTTTGCTGAGTCGTGTTGTGCTGAGTCGTGTCGTGTCGTGCTGAGTCGTGTTCTGTTTGCTGAGTCGTGTTGTGCTGAGTCGTGTTGTGCTGAGTCGTGTTCTGTTTGCTGAGTCGTGTTGTGCTGAGTCGTGTCGTGTTTTGCTGAGTCGTGTTGTGCTGAGTCGTGTTGTGCTGAGTCGTGTTTTGCTGAGTCGTGTTCTGCTGAGTCGTGTTGTGCCGAGTCGTGTTGTGCCGAGTCGTGTCGTGTTGTGCTGTCGTGTTGTGCCGAGTCGTGTCGTGTTGTGCCGAGTCGTGTTGTGCCGAGTCGTGTCGTGTTTTGCCGAGTCGTGTCGTGCCGAGTCGTGTTTTGCCGAGTCGTGTCGTGTTTTGCCGAGTCGTGTCGTGTTTTGCCGAGTCGTGTCGTGCCGAGTCGTGTCGTGTTTTGCCGAGTCGTGTCGTGCCGAGTCGTGTCGTGTTTTGCCGAGTCGTGTCGTGTTTTGCCGAGTCGTGTCGTGCCGAGTCGTGTCGTGTTTTGCCGAGTCGTGTCGTGCCGAGTCGTGTCGTGTCGTGCCGAGTCGTGTCGTGTTTTGCCGAGTCGTGTCGTGCCGAGTCGTGTCGTGTTTTGCCGAGTCGTGTCGTGTTTTGCCGAGTCGTGTCGTGTTGTGCCGAGTCGTGTCGTGTTTTGCCGAGTCGTGTCGTGTTTTGCCGAGTCGTGTCGTGTTGTGCCGAGTCGTGTCGTGTTTTGCCGAGTCGTGTCGTGCCGAGTCGTGTCGTGTTTTGCCGAGTCGTGTCGTGCCGAGTCGTGTCGTGTTTTGCCGAGTCGTGTCGTGTTTTGTCGTGTCGTGTTGTGCTGAGTCGTGTTCTGCTGAGTCGTGTTCTGCTGAGTCGTGTTGTGCTGAGTCGTGTTGTGCCGAGTCGTGTCGTGTTGTGCCGAGTCGTGTCGTGTTGTGCCGAGTCGTGTTGTGCTGAGTCGTGTTCTGTTTGCTGAGTCGTGTTCTGCTGAGTCGTGTTCTGCCGAGTCGTGTTGTGCCGAGTCGTGTCGTGTCGTGCCGAGTCGTGTTGTGCCGAGTCGTGTTTAGATGAGTCATGTTTAGATGAGTCATATTGTGCTGAGTCATGTTCTGTTTGCTGAGTCGTGTTGTGCCGAGTCGTGTTGTGCTGAGTCATGTTGTGCTGAGTCATGTTCTGTTGTGCCGAGTCGTGTTGTGCCGAGTCATGTTGTGCCGAGTCATGTTCTGTTGTGCCGAGTCGTGTTGTGCCGAGTCGTGTTGTGCCGAGTCATGTTGTGCCGAGTCATGTTCTGTTGTGCCGAGTCGTGTTGTGCCGAGTCGTGTTGTGCCGAGTCGTGTTGTGCTGAGTCATGTTCTGTTTGCTGAGTCATGTTGTGCCGAGTCATGTTCTGTTGTGCCGAGTCGTGTCGTGTTGTGCCGAGTCGTGTCGTGTTTTGTCGTGTCGTGCTGAGTCGTGTTCTGCTGAGTCGTGTTCTGCTGAGTCGTGTTGTGCCGAGTCGTGTTGTGCTGAGTCGTGTCGTGTTGTGCCGAGTCGTGTTGTGTTCTGCCGAGTCGTGTTGTGCTGAGTCGTGTCGTGTTGTGCCGAGTCGTGTTGTGCCGAGTCATGTTTAGATGAGTCATGTTTAGATGAGTCATATTGTGCTGAGTCATGTTCTGTTTGCTGAGTCGTGTTGTGCCGAGTCGTGTTGTGCTGAGTCATGTTGTGCTGAGTCATGTTCTGTTGTGCCGAGTCGTGTTGTGCCGAGTCGTGTTGTGCCGAGTCATGTTGTGCCGAGTCATGTTCTGTTGTGCCGAGTCGTGTTGTGCCGAGTCGTGTTGTGCCGAGTCGTGTTGTGCCGAGTCATGTTCTGTTTGCTGAGTCGTGTTGTGCCGAGTCGTGCTGTGCCGAGTCGTGCTGAGTCGTGTTGTGCCGAGTCGTGTTGAGTCGTGCTGAGTCGTGCTGAGTCGTGTCGTGCTGAGTCGTGTCGTGCTGAGTCGTGCTGAGTCGTGTTGTGCCGAGTCGTGCTGAGTCGTGCTGAGTCGTGCTGAGTCGTGTCGTGCTGAGTCGTGTCGTGCTGAGTCGTGCTGAGTCGTGTTGTGCCGAGTCGTGTTGAGTCGTGCTGAGTCGTGCTGAGTCGTGTCGTGCTGAGTCGTGTCGTGCTGAGTCGTGCTGAGTCGTGCTGAGTCGAGTCGTGCTGTGCCGAGTCGTGCTGTGCCGAGTCGTGCTGTGCCGAGTCGTGCTGAGTCGTGTTGTGCCGTGTCGTGCTGAGTCGTGTCGAGTCGTGTTGTGCCGAGTCGTGCCGAGTCGTGCTTCTCACCCGCTGCAGGTACCCCTGAGCGAAGGCCATGTCCTTGCTCTCTCTCTGGGGGTCGAGGCTCAGCAGGTTCTCGTCGTACAGCAGCAGCAGCTTCTTGGAGTCTTTGCTGACCTGCCGACTCCCCCTGAGCCGGAGAGTCTGGCCTCTCCCCCGACCCCGTCTCCCCCCCCCTCCTCTGGGCCTCCCCTCCCCCCCCGCCGTCTCCTCATCTCCTCCCCCCTTACAGCCCCCCCCCTCTCCAGACTCCTCCCCTTTAGGCCCCTCCTCCTCTTCCTCCTCTTCCTCCTCCTCCTCCTGAGAGCCTGCGGAGGTCGGAGAGTTTTCCTCCTCCGAGTCTCCGTCGGCACAAAGTCTCCGTTCAGACGCCAGCCAGGTGAGCTGCTTCATGGTCTCCTGCAGAGAGAGGTCAGAGGTCATGGTCTCCTGCAGAGAGAGGTCAGAGGTCATGGTCTCCTGCAGAGAGAGGTCAGAGGTCATGATCTCCTGCAGAGAGAGGTCATAGGTCATGGTCTCCTGCAGACCATCTCCTAACTACTTCCTGTTTACCTGTAGCTCTGTTTACCTGTAGATCTGAAACTAACTACTTCCTGTTTACCTGTAGATCTGAAACTAACTACTTCCTGTTTACCTGTAGATCTGAAACTAACTACTTCCTGTTTACCTGTAGATCTGAAACTAACTACTTCCTGTTTACCTGTAGCTCTGAAACTAACTACTTCCTGTTTACCTGTAGCTCTGTTTACCTGTAGATCTGAAACTAACTACTTCCTGTTTACCTGTAGCTCTGAAACTAACTACTTCCTGTTTACCTGTAGCTCTGAAACTAACTACTTCCTGTTTACCTGTAGCTGTTTACCTGTAGCTCTGAAACTAACTACTTCCTGTTTACCTGTAGCTCTGAAACTAACTACTTCCTGTTTACCTGTAGATCTGTTTACCTGTAGATCTGAAACTAACTACTTCCTGTTTACCTGTAGCTCTGAAACTAACTACTTCCTGTTTACCTGTAGCTCTGAAACTAACTACTTCCTGTTTACCTGTAGCTCTGTTTACCTGTAGCTCTGAAACTAACTACTTCCTGTTTACCTGTAGCTCTGAAACTAACTACTTCCTGTTTACCTGTAGATCTGTTTACCTGTAGCTCTGTTTACCTGTAGCTCTGTTTACCTGTAGCTCTGGAACAGAAAGCACAGACTCCTCGGACGCCGATGACATCACTTCCTCCTCGTCTTCATCCTGAGTGAGGTCATCAAAATCCTCCTCCTCTTCCTCCTCGCCCCCCTGTCGGTCCTGATCTTCATCTTTATCTTTGTCTCCATCCTCTTCCTCTCCTCCACCATCTTCTTTCTGTTCCTCCTCTTCCTCCCCCTCTCCTCCCCCATCCTCCCCCTGTCCCTCCTCTTCCCTCTGTCCCTCCTCTTCCTCGTTTCCTCCCCCACCAGCTTCATCTTCCCCCTCCTCTTCATCCTCCCCATTTCCTCCCTCCTCCTCTTCCTCTCCTCCCCCCTCCTCCCCCTGTCCCTCCTCTTCCTCTCCTCCCCCCTCCTCCCCCTTGTCTGAACAGGAAGACACCGGGCTCAGTGTGGAGGCTGAACTCTCCCCCGACTCCCCCCCATCCAGTCTGTCCTCTCCGATTGGCCCAGGTGTATTCTGGGAGGTTTTGGTTGGGGGAGTCCACACCATCTGGAGTAGGAGGTACCCAGACTTGGCAGCAGAGCAAGGCATTCTGGGATTTGTAGTTTCCGGGCTGGTGAGGGAGGGGAGTGGGAGGAGGATGCTCTGCTGCGTGGTCTGACCAATAGGAAGGCAGGGCTGGATGGTGGGGGCAGGGAGTGTGTGCGCAGCAGCCAATGAGAGCGCTGCGCTGGAAGGAGGTGGGGGTACAACCGCAGGAGGGCGTAGCTGTGAGCTGATTGGCTGTCGGGCTGCCGGGGCTTTGGCCAACGGCAGCAGAGATGCATTGTGGGCTAAGGCGAAGAGACGCCTTTGGGGGGGGGGAGGGGCGTGGCCTGACTTGTTGAGCCAATGGGGGTGGAGCCTGAGGCTGCAGCCGGGGGGGAGGGAGGGTGGGTAACAGCCGGAGGGGAGGCGGGTCTTCTGGATGATCAGCTGACTGTTCTGGAGGAGCAGAGGAACACAGTGTAAGCATATTCACCTTAAGTAGCTAACGTCTGCTAGCTGAACAGCTAAGAGGCTTGTTGGAGACGAGCTGCGGCTCAGCCGGGGGAGGTCTCAAAAAGCTCGCCTGAAGTCGGACAGCTCGGAGTCGGCTGCTTCTTCTTCTCTCGGTTTTTTGGTGGATTGCAAACAGCTTTAAGGTGCATACGCCACCTCCGGGGTCGGCTTGATTCGGTTTGCATTTATAAAGAATGCACAAATGTGTTTAATCGTTAATGTCAGATATGTACTAAGTGAATACATTTGTTCCTGCTCAAGATTAGATTAAACTTTATTGATATTGCACAGATTACAGGAGACAACGAAATGCAGTTTAGCTTCTAACCAGGAGAGCAGCAAGCAGTGAAGAGAAAAGTAATGTACACAATCTACAGAATAAAATATAGAATGAATTGAATGAAGAATAAACAGTCTGTCCAGTGAGATTTCAACGTCTCATGTAGGCGAGCCTCCAGAGCAAGTCGGACAAAATGACTACCCATCATGCAACGCACTAGCAAGACAGCGGTTGCAATTGCGCAGGTCTGCGTCGGTCTCGCTCGTCTCAAACGAGCCTCACGTCTGTGTGAATGTGTGAACTAACTGTTTTCATTACTTTTTAATTAATAAACTGTGTCACCTTCAACCAGTTAGTCAGGATGGAGGTGTCCCTCTCCACGGGGGGGCGCTGCTCTCCAGGCTGAGCCCTGCTGCAGGCGAGGGGGAGGGGGGGCACCACTCTCTGACTCAGGAACGCCTGGAGGACAGAGTATATATTCACACACACACACACACACACACACACACACACACACACACACACACACACACACACACACACACACACACACACACACACACACACACACACACACACACACACACAACACACACACACCACACACACACACACACACACACACACACACACACACACACACACACACACACACACACACACACACACACACACACACACACACACACACACACACACACACACACACACACACACACACACACACACACACACACACCACCACACACACACACAGCACACACACACACACAGCACACACACACCCCTTGATGACGCTGTGGGGGGGGGGCTCTGGTGCCACTCATCTCTCGGATGTGTTTCCTCAGGTTCCAGCGGGACTTGCACAGCAGGTAGGAGCTGATCAGCTGATCCGGCTGCACCCCCCCCTCAAAGTGCTTCAGAGCCAGGACCATCAACCTGCACAGAGGCATCATGGGAAATATATTTGTATGATACAGTGTGTTGGGTTCCCTGTGTGTGTGAATGTGTAACTGTGTGTGAATGTGTGTGACTGTGTGTGTGACTGTGTGTGTGACTGTGTGTGACTATGTGTGAATGTGTGTGAATGTGTGACTGTGTGTGACTGTGTGTGACTGTGTGAATGTGTGTAACTGTGTGTGACTGTGTGTGACTGTGTGTGACTGTGTGTGACTGTGTGTGACTGTGTGTGACTGTGTGACTGTGTGTGACTGTGTGTGACTGTGTGTGACTGTGTGTGACTGTGTGTGACTGTGTGTGACTGTGTGTGACTGTGTGTGACTGTGTGTGACTGTGTGTGACTGTGAGACTGTGTGTGACTGTGTGTGACTGTGTGTGACTGTGTGAATGTGTGTGACTGTGTGTGACTGTGTGTGACTGTGTGTGACTGTGTGTGACTGTGTGAATGTGTGTGACTGTGTGACTGTGAATGTGTGTAAATGTGTGTGACTAACTGTGTGGGAATGTGTGTGACTAACTGTATATGACTGTGTGAATGTGTGTGACTGTGTGTGAATGTGTGACTGTGTGAATGTGTGTGACTGTGTGAATGTGTGTAACTGTGTGTGACTATGTGTATGTGTGTGACTGTGTGACTGTGTGAATGTGTGAATGTGTGTAAATGTGTGTGACTAACTGTGTGTGAATGTGTGTGACTATGTGTATGTGTGTGACTGTGTGTGACTGTGTGTGACTGTGTGTGACTGTGTGAATGTGTGCGACTGTGTGCATGTCTGCAACTGTGTGAATGTGTGTGACTGTTTGTAACTGTGTGTGACTGTGTGAATGTGTAACTGTGTGTGTGTGTGTGTGTGTGTGTGTGTGTGTGTGTGTGTGACTGTGAATGTGTGTAACTGTGTGAATGTGTGAGAATGTGTGACTGTGAATGTGTGTGACTGTGAATGTGTGTAACTGTGTGAATGTGTGAGAATGTGTGAATGTGTGTGACTGTTTGAATGTGTGACTAACTGTGTGGGAATGTGTGTGAATGTGTGTGACTGTAACTGTATGACTGTGTGTATGTGTGTGACTGTGTGACTGTGTGAATGTGTGTAAATGTGTGTGACTAACTGTGTGGGAATGTGTGTGACTGTGTGTGTGAATGTGTGTGAATGTGTGTGACTGTGTGTGACTATGTGTATGACTGTGTGACTGTGTGTGTGACTGTATATGACTGTGTGTATGTATGTGAATGTGTGTGAATGTGTGAATGTGTGTGAATGTGTGAATGTGTGTGACTAACTGTGGGAATGTGTATGACTTTGTGAATGTGTGACTGTGTGACTGTGTGACTGTGTGAATGTGTGTGACTAACTGTGTGGGAATGTGTGTGACTGTGTGAATGCGTGTGAATGTGTGTGACTAACTGTGTGACTAACTGTGTGTAAATGTGTATGACTGTGTGAATGTGTGACTGTGTGAATGTGTGTGACTAACTGTGTGGGAATGTGTGTGACTGTGTATGATTGTGTGTGACTGTGTGTGACTGTGTATGACTGTGTGAATGTGTGTGAATGTGTGTGACTGTGTGAATGTGTGTGACTAACTGTGTGGGAATGTGTGTGACTGTGTGTGACTGTGTGTGAATGTGTGTGACTGTGTGAATGTGTGTGACTGTGTGAATGCGTGTGAATGTGTGTGACTAACTGTGTGACTAACTGTGTGTAAATGTGTATGACTGTGTGAATGTGTGACTGTGTGAATGTGTGTGACTAACTGTGTGTGAATGTGTGTGACTGTGTATGATTGTGTGTGACTGTGTGTGACTGTGTATGACTGTGTGAATGTGTGTGAATGTGTGTGACTGTGTGAATGTGTGTGACTAACTGTGTGTGAATGTGTGACTGTGTGTGAATGTGTGACTGTGTGTGAATGTGTGACTGTGTGTGACTGTGTGAATGTGTGTGACTGTGTATGACTGTGTGACTGTGTGAATGTGTGACTGTGTGAATGTGTGACTGTGTGACTAACTGTGTGAATGTGTGACTGTGTGTGACTAACTGTGTGGGAATGTGTGTGACTGTGAATGTGTGACTGTGTGTGACTAACTGTGTGGGAATGTGTGTGACTGTGTGAATGTGTGACTGTGTGAATGTGTGTGACTAACTGTGTGTGACTGTGTGTGACTGTGTGTGAATGTGTGTGACTAACTGTGTGTGACTGTGTGTGACTGTGTGAATGTGTGACTGTGTGACTGTGTGTGTGAATGAGTGTGACTAACTGTGTGGGAATGTGTGTGAATGTGTGACTGTGTGACTGTGTGTGAATGAGTGTGACTAACTGTGTGGGAATGTGTGTGACTGTATGTGAATGTGTGAATATGTGTGTGACTGTATGTGAATGTGTGTATGTGTGTGAATATGTGTGTGAATGAGTGTGACTAACTGTGTGGGAATGTGTGTGACTGTGTGAATGTGTGTAACTGTGTATGAATGTGTGTGACTGTGTGTGAATGAGTGTGACTGTAACTGTGTATGAATGTGTGTGATTGTAAATGTGTGTGACTGTGAGAAAGTCCGAATTTTGTGATTTTGAAAAGTCCGAATTTTGAGAAAAAAGTCAGAGTTTTGAGAAAGATGTGTACCCGTCCTCTCCGGCGGTGTACACGCTGCGGCGCCGTCGGGTCTCGGCCGGCGGGTCCAGGCTGCAGACAGGAAGTAGTTCTGGGTACAGGAAGACGGGCCGCGTGGCAAACAGCCAGGCCTCGTCTGCAGGCATCAGAGGGAAGGCCAGACCTGAACAGAACCAGGATCAGAACCAACACACACACACACACACACACACACACACACACACACACACACACACACACACACACACACACACACACACACACACACACACACACACACACACACACACACACACACACACACCACACACACACACACACACACACACACACACACACACACACACACACACACAACACACACACACACACACACACACACACACACACACACACACACACACACACACACACACACACACACACACACACACACACACACACACACACACACACACACACACACACACACACACACACACACTCCTTACTCCTGGTGGCAGGGCTCATGGTGGGGAGCCAGCGTCTGGAGGAGGCAGGAGGACCAGGATTAGGACCCGCTGTCTGCTCCTGCAGGAGGTCCAGAGCCCCCTGAAGGTTACACCCTCTGAAGCTGCTGCTGAGGAGAAGCTCCTCCCGACGCCTGGCAAACTGCTGCAGCTCCTCCTGTGGGGGGAGAGGGGAGAGGGGGAGGGCGGGGGGGGGGGGAGTTACTGAAGACTCAAAGGCTTTATCGTCATCTGCAGATAACAAATCTGTCTTCAACAATAATACATAAATATAGAAGACATAAAACAATAATGGCCCGTCCACACGGCGGCACGCGTTGAAGCTTCAACGCTTCTGCCCATTCACTTTGAATGGGGTGACGTCTCGCGTCGCTCTGCTCGCGTCGCTCGCTTCAAAAGTTGAGAAAAGTTCAACTTTTGAAGCTTCGATGGAAGCGTCAGCCAATCAAATCCTATGCCAGTACAAGCTCTAGCCAATCAAACCGCGTGCTTGTGTGTCCGGGGAGGGAGATTCATGTGATTGGTTGTTGGTCGAGTTTCAGACACGCCTACCGGCAAGCTTCAACGCTACGACGCTACGTAACACGAGTGAGTGAGTGTGTGTGTGTGTGTGTGTGTGTTTGCTCACCAGGTAGTGTTTAGTGATGCAGTTCTCGTGGTTCAGGGCGTCCACGCGGCGAGTCAGCAGGTGGACCTGAGTCAGCAGCTGCACATGCTGGAAGAGAAAAGCATGTTTATTAATGAGGTTTTTATAATCGCTTTATGTTGGAAGAGTACGATACTCCATCACTGAGCACTTGGTTAGGGTTAACCATCACTGAGGACTTGGTTAGGGTTAACCATCACTGAGGACTTGGTTAGGTTTAACCATCACTGAGGACTTGGTTAGGGTTAACCATCACTGAGGACTTGGTTAGGGTTCACCATCACTGAGGACTTGGTTAGGGTTAACCATCACTGAGGACTTGGTTAGGGTTAACCATCACTGAGGACTTGGTTAGGTTTAACCATCACTGAGGACTTGGTTAGGGTTAACCATCACTGAGGACTTGGTTAGGGTTAACCATCACTGAGGACTTGGTTAGGTTTAACCATCACTGAGGTTAGGGTTAACCATCACTGAGGACTTGGTTAGGGTTAACCATCACTGAGGACTTGGTTAGGGTTAACCATCACTGAGGTTAGGGTTAACCATCACTGAGGACTTGGTTAGGGTTAACCATCACTGAGGACTTGGTTAGGGTTAACCATCACTGAGGTTAGGGTTAACCATCACTGAGGACTTGGTTAGGGTTCACCAGCACTGAGGACTTGGTTAGGGTTAACCATCACTGAGGACTTGGTTAGGGTTAACCATCACTGAGGACTTGGTTAGGGTTCACCAGCACTGAGGACTTGGTTAGGGTTAACCATCACTGAGGTTAGGGTTAACCAGCACTGAGGACTTGGTTAGGGTTAACCATCACTGAGGACTTGGTTAGGGTTAACCATCACTGAGGACTTGGTTAGGGTTAACCAGCACTGAGGACTTGGTTAGGGTTCACCAGCACTGAGGACTTGGTTAGGGTTAACCATCACTGAGGACTTGGTTAGGGTTAACCAGCACTGAGGACTTGGTTAGGGTTAACCAGCACTGAGGACTTGGTTAGGGTTAACCATCACTGAGGACTTGGTTAGGGTTCACCATCACTGAGGACTTGGTTAGGGTTAACCATCACTGAGGACTTGGTTAGGTTTAACCAGCACTGAGGTTAGGGTTAACCAGCACTGAGGACTTGGTTAGGGTTAACCATCACTGAGGACTTGGTTAGGGTTAACCAGCACTGAGGACTTGGTTAGGGTTAACCAGCACTGAGGACTTGGTTAGGGTTAACCAGCACTGAGGACTTGGTTAGGGTTCACCATCACTGAGGACTTGGTTAGGGTTAACCAGCACTGAGGACTTGGTTAGGGTTAACCATCACTGAGGACTTGGTTGAAGGAACTTTCTGGTAGTGTTGGTCTAGAATGACGGACACTAGGGGTGTAACGGTTCACAAAAATGTCGGTTCGGTACGTATCTCGGTTTTTAGGTCACGGTTCGGTACGTTTTCGGTACAGCAGAAAAAATTATAAAAAAACATAAAATAATTTTTGGGTTTTTTTAATTATTGTGAATAATGTATTCACTCAAATAAATACAAAATATAATAAAATAAACATTAAGGTGCAGCATTTCGATGAACTGAAATAATCTGTACTTGAACTGTACTGCACTAGCACCTGCAGCCAGCTTGACATTAGGCCACATTGCTTGCTGAAAGGGCAGATCTGCTGGCACTAACAATGTCTCCTGCTGTGGAGAACACCCTCTCTCTAGGGACAGAGGTAGCAGATACAGACAGGTAGCGCTTTGCTAACATGGCAACATAAGGATATTTGGCGTTTGTAATAGCTTTGGCTCGGTCTGAACTTGTTGCGAGTGGTGGAGGCTTAAATGCTAGAGGGAGTTGGGTTTGCACTTCAGTCTTTTTTCTTTTGGTACCGGTGATATTCACGTTCGGGTGATGCCTTTTCAAATGAGTGTGCCAGTTTGATGTATTGCCAGCCGCGTAACCAATGTTAGTTGAACAATGCCGACAAACAGCTTTGGTTCGGTCCACCTGTCTTTGTCCGTCATCCTTGTACGTAACTGTGAAACCAAAATGTTCCCAAACCGGAGACTTCAATGATGCTGGAGGATTTTCCAGCTCAACTTTATCTGCTTTCGCCATTTCCTCAAATTACTGTCTACATTTGAACGCATCCCTGTGACCAGCTCTCATAGTATGCCTCTCGTCCAATGAAATGACTTGGCCGCTCTATGACGCGTTGAACCCAATGGGAGCAAATTACACTGAACGCTGCTCAATTTTTTACGTTTAACGTTATATTCTTTAGGTACACTTCGGTACACGCGTGTACCGAACCGAACGGCCCATACCGAATATTTTCGGTACGAATACGTATACCGTTACACCCCTAACGGACATACATCGCTAAGGGCAGGCAGGAGGACTGTGTTCAGCTCTGGGAGCACATTGTGAGGGACTGTCTCTGAAAGGAAACTGTGAGATAATTTTGTTTTATTTATTTTATTTGTAGGCCTATGCTTTTAATACTGGTGCAAGTCGAGGGTGTGTGTGCGTGTGCGTGTGCGTGCGCGTGCGTGTGCGTGTGCGTGTGCGCGCGCGTGTGTGTGTGCGCGCGTGTGTGCGCGTGCGTGTGTGCGCGTGTGTGTGTGCGCGTGCGTGTGTGTGTGTGCGTGTGCGCGTGCACGTGTGTGTGTGTGCGTGTGCGCGTGTGTGCGTGTGTGCGCGTGCGCGTGTGTGCGTGTGCGTGTGCGTGCGTGTGTGTGTGTGCGTGTGCGCGCGTGTGTGTGTGTGTGCGTGCGCGTGTGTGCGTGTGCGCGTGTGTGTGTGTGTGCGTGTGCGCGTGTGTGTGTGTGTGTGTGCGTGCGCGTGTGTGTGTGTGTGTGTGAGGTACATGGTTTTTGGTTGTTGTTCAATAAGAAAATACCAATAAACATATTGTGAAAAAGACATGAGGTGTTTATATGAGGAGTGTGTTCAGGACCTGGACCAGGTCAGGACCAGGTCTCAGTACCTGCTGGATCTGCTGCTGCAGCTGCAGTTTCTGGGTGTGGTCCAGGTGGAGGGGGGGGCAGACGCCTCTCTGCAGGACTATGATAGAGGTGGTGGGCTGTGGGCTAGGCGGGCCCTTCAGGTCCCGGTGCTGGTTGGTGGAGTCCTGCAGGGCCCTCCTCTGCTGCAGGGCCTCGTACTGCTTCCTGACGGTCCTGCGCCGCTCCGTCAGCATGCTGGCTAACGGGGCCTCAAACCTGCAACAGAGAGGAAAACCACTTCCTGTGAAGCTGCGTGAAGAGGAGATCCACATAACTCTGCATCATCATCATCATCATCTCCAGCAGGTAGAACAACATGAGCATATCTGACTGTGCTTCTGTGGTAGCAGAATGCTTCAGAGCTCTCTGGATGGAGATCTGATGGATCAACATGTTTCCCCTCAGCTGGAGTGCTCTCCATGAGCTCAGTGGAGAGACTCCAGCTGGGGAGCTTTCTCTCCCTCCTCACCCAAACAGTAACAGCACTTCTCTGCTGCACCGCCCCGAGAGGAGGGCCTGCAGACCCTGGGGTCGCGTACATGTATCTGTGTGGTGTGCATGTGTCTGTGTGGTGTGCATGCGTCTGTGTGGTGTGCATGCGTCTGTGTGATGCGCATGCGTCTGTGATGTGCGTGATGTGCATGTGTCTGTGTGATGTGCATGTGTCTGTGTGGTGTGCATGCGTCTGTGTGATGCGCATGCGTCTGTGTGATGCGCATGCGTCTGTGATGCGCATGTGTCTGTGTGATGCGCATGTGTCTGTGTGATGCGCATGTGTCTGTGTGGTGCGCATGTGTCTGTGTGGTGCGCATGTGTCTGTGTGGTGCGCATGTGTCTGTGTGGTGCGCATGTGTCTGTGTGGTGCGCATGCGTCTGTGTGATGCGCATGCGTCTGTGTGATGCGCATGCGTCTGTATGATGCGCATGCGTCTGTGTGGTGCGCATGCGTCTGTGTGGTGCGCATGCGTCTGTGTGGTGTGCATGCGTCTGTGTGATGCGCATGCGTCTGTGTGATGCGCATGCGTCTGTGTGGTGTGCATGCGTCTGTGTGATGTAGAGGTGTGAGGACTGAAGGTGTTACCGTAGAGCTGCAGGGACGTTGAACTTGGCTCCAGTCTGTGACGGTTCCTCCTCTTCCTGCTCCTCAGCGGCCACTTCCTCCTGAAGCTGTAGAGAGAAACAGACGGACCTCAGAACCAGACGCTCAGAACCAGACGCTCAGAACCAGACGGGTCCGTTCTCCCTGAACTCAGAACCAGACGGGTCCGTTCTCCCTGAACTCAGAACCAGGCGGTCTGATGTCCCTGAACTCAGAACCAGACAGTCAGTTCTCCCTGAACTCAGAACCAGACGGGTCCGTTCTCCCTGAACTCAGAACCAGACGGGTCCGTTCTCCCTGAACTCAGAACCAGACGGGTCCGTTCTCCCTGAACTCAGAACCAGACGGGTCCGTTCTCCCTGAACTCAGAACCAGATGGTCCGTTCTCCCTGAACTCAGAACCAGACGGGTCCGTTCTCCCTGAACTCAGAACCAAACGGTCCGTTCTCCCTGAACTCAGAACCAGATGGTCAGTTCTCCCTGAACTCAGAACCAGACAGGTCCGTTCTCCCTGAACTCAGAACCAAACGGTCCGTTCTCCCTGAACTCAGAACCAGATGGTCAGTTCTCCCTGAACTCAGAACCAGACAGGTCCGTTCTCCCTGAACTCAGAACCAGACGGGTCCGTTCTCCCTGAACTCAGAACCAAACGGTCAGTTCTCCCTGAACTCAGAACCAAACGGTTCGTTCTCCCTGAACTCAGAACCAAACGGTCCGTTCTCCCTGAACTCAGAACCAAACGGTCCGTTCTCCCTGAACTCAGAACCAAACGGTCCGATGTCCCTGAACTCAGAACCAAACGGTCCGATGTCCCTGAACTCAGAACCAGACGGGTCCGTTCTCCCTGAACTCAGAACCAAACGGTCCGATGTCCCTGAACTCAGAACCAGACGGGTCCGTTCTCCCTGAACTCAGAACCAAACGGTCCGATGTCCCTGAACTCAGAACCAGACGGGTCCGTTCTCCCTGAACTCAGAACCAGACGGGTCCGTTCTCCCTGAACTCAGAACCAGACGGGTCCGTTCTCCCTGAACTCAGAACCAAACGGTCCGATGTCCCTGAACTCAGAACCAGACGGGTCCGTTCTCCCTGAACTCAGAACCAGACGGTCCGATGTCCCTGAACTCACCGTATCAAAGAGTTCCTCCAGCAGCTCATTCACCTCCTTCTCTGTAAGAGGAGAAGATGGGTTAACTCTGAGGGTGAGGCAGGGATAACATGTAGTCCAGACCCGGACCTAAACCCAGACCCGGTCCACAACACCTACTGGTGATCTGCACGGCCCGGTCCGTCCTGTAGTCCTCCAGGTCCGGTTCGTCCAGGTCCTCCAGGACGTTGTACTCTGGGTCGTCGTCATCGTCAGCTTCCTCTGAGAAACGAACACACTCAGTCAGCTAAGGTCTATACATCTGGAACATCGGGAACATCGGGAACATCGGGAACATCTGGAACATCGGGAACATCTGGAACATCTGGATCAGCGTCTCTGACTTCCAGAGCAGAATCACTCATGTCTTTAGGGGGATAGTGACTCCTCGCTGCACGGCCACATACTAAACAAACCAACGACTTGACTTATTATTTGACTGGCTTCTAAATGATCGTATTGCCTCCACTAACAACAAAAAGACCCCGTTCCACTGCGTACCTTCTGCTGAACTGAGACAACAAAAACGTAAGTTAAAAACAACGGCAGCACTGAACAAGGTTTTCTGTAAATGCTTAGTAGCGGTGTGTTGTCGAGTATTAAAGGTCTCCTATTATGCAAAATTCTCTTTTTGATGTCTTTTCTACATCACTATGTGTCCCCGATGTGTCCCCTGGTGTGTCCCCGGTGTGTCCCCCGTGTGTCAGGAGACTCTCAAATGGCGCGTTTCCACTACAGCGCGGAGCACTGTTTAAGAGGGCTGTGACATCAGCGGCCCGTCTTTGGTTGCGTTTCCACTTGGCCTAGTACCGGCCGGCGGGTCCTAATTCACAGTTTTTCTGGCCTCATAAAATCGTGGGTCTAGGGCCAGAGACAACGAGGCTGAGTCGGGCTGAGTATGCTAAACTAGAGAGAGGAGCGCTGGCAAGGGGGCTACAACTACAACAAGATGGACATATTTGACCGTGATGTAATTGTAATACACGTTTCTAAATGATGAAGTAACAACATACTGATACCGGTTAGTAAAAACCATGAATTAATGCTTTGTCAAGTCTGCAGACAGACGGCAGGAGAAAAACCTTTTAAAATGCGTGTTTTCTGAATGGAGATTGGCTAAGCTAACGCAGTATATGCTCCGACCGTCCACACTCACAACAACGGCCTATACAGACATAAATAAAGCAGCGACTGTATTCTCCATGACACAGGCAGTCTGTGGTTTGTACTTGTTTAACTTTTGTCGAGTTTCTGAACAGATATGAGGAGCTGTGAGCTCTGAGTGCTAACAGCTAACGGCTGTGTTGTTTTTCTGGGGTTCTCATTGAAGATGACGTCACGGCTCCGCCTACACTGCGTTACTATAGTTACTACCCCAGTTCCTAAACTGTAATGGAAACGCAGCATAAAGTGAGCCAGTCCTAACGAGGCCCAGCCATACCGAGCGAGGCCGTGTAGTGGAAACGCACCAAAAGTGTCAGGAAATAAACCCCTCTCTCTTTTCCTCCGTACCCACATCTCTAAAAACGGGGAACAACGGAGCTGATTCAGATTTGCTGCGTCATGACGACATTACTCAAATGTGGGCGGGCTTTAGACCCACGGGCCAATCAGAAAGGTTGCTGTCAGAAACGTGTTCTGGAAGTAATATGGTCTGTGTTTACATTAGCATGCTAACACTCAGAGCTAACCTGTACTGGAGAGAGCATGTGTGAAGGAAATGAAAAGGAAGTCACCTTGTGGTAAACCTGAGAGAGAGAAAGAGTTTGAGCTCCATACTGTTTCAGAGAGAATCCTTCATGTGGTTTGGAACATGATATGGAGTTTAATCACTGCAGCATTTAGCTGAGTTTCTGCTGGGAGAGTTCTCCTGATGAGATCTACTCTCTCTCTGAAGCTACTGACCCAGAGTCAGCTCTTTAGTAACAGCTGGGAGAGAGGGGGGGGGGGGGCTACAAGGATCTGTTTGGGGTTTGGAGCAGGACACTTCAGAGACATGTCCTTAGTAACAGCTGGAAGAGAGGGGGGGGGGGGCTACAAGGATCTGTTTGGGGTTTGGAGCAGGACACTTCAGAGACATGTCCTTAGTAACAGCTGGAAGAGAGGGGGGGGGGCTACAAGGATCTGTTTGGGGTTTGGAGCAGGACACTTCAGAGACATGTCCTTAGTAACAGCTGGAAGAGAGGGGGGGGGGGGCTACAAGGATCTGTTTGGGGTTTGGAGCAGGACACTTCAGAGACATGTCCTTAGTAACAGCTGGAAGAGAGAGGGGGGGGGGCTACAAGGATCTGTTTGGGGTTTGGAGCAGGACACTTCAGAGACATGTCCTTAGTAACAGCTGGAAGAGAGGGGGGGGGGGGGGCCACAAGGATCTGTTTGGGGTTTGGAGCAGGACACTTCAGAGACATGTCCTTAGTAACAGCTGGAAGAGAGGGGGGGGGGGGGCTACAAGGATCTGTTTGGGGTTTGGAGCAGGACACTTCAGAGACATGTCCTTAGTAACAGCTGGAAGAGAGGGGGGGGCTACAAGGATCTGTTTGGGGTTTGGAGCAGGACACTTCAGAGACATGTCCTTAGTAACAGCTGGAAGAGAGGGGGGGGGGGCTACAAGGATCTGTTTGGGGTTAGGAGCAGGACACTTCAGAGACATGTCCTTAGTAACAGCTGGAAGAGAGGGGGGGGGGGCTACAAGGATCTGTTTGGGGTTTGGAGCAGGACACTTCAGAGACATGTCCTTAGTAACAGCTGGAAGAGAGGGGGGGGGGGGCTACAAGGGTCTGTTTGGGGTCTGGAGCAGGACACTTCAGAGACATGTCCTTAGTAACAGCTGGAAGAGAGGGGGGGGGGGGGCTACAAGGATCTGTTTGGGGTCTGGAGCAGGACACTTCAGAGACATGTCCTTAGTAACAGCTGGAAGAGAGGGGGGGGGGGGGGCTACAAGGATCTGTTTGGGGTCTGGAGCAGGACACTTCAGAGACATGTCCTTAGTAACAGCTGGAAGAGAGGGGGGGGGGGCTACGAGGATCTGTTTGGGGTCTGGAGCAGGACACTTCAGAGACATGTCCTTAGTAACAGCTGGAAGAGAGGGGGGGGGGGCTACAAGGATCTGTTTGGGGTCTGGAGCAGGACACTTCAGAGACATGTCTTTAGTAACAGCTGGAAGAGAGGGGGGGGGGGCTACAAGGATCTGTTTGGGGTCTGGAGCAGGACACTTCAGAGACCTGTAATATATATTGTGAGTAATTAGAGCTGCTCTGGGGTCTGACCTTCAGGCTGGGGGGTCATCAGGCCCTGCAGCCAGCGGGTCCAGTGCCGGTCCTCCTCACGCTGGGCCGCGCTCTGATCGTACATGTCAGCTGTGATGTCCGGAGCCAGAAGCTCCGCCTCCAGCTGCTCCAGAGGAACGTTCACCAGGCGCAGCTTAGAGCGGGTTCTGTACGCCAACCCAGGACGACCTGCCCCGTCCTCACAAGCCTTCCTGTCCGGAGACTGGATAAAGGTGTGTGTGTCAGTGTTACCTGGTTGTAGGTGTGTGTCAGTGTTACCTGGTTGTAGGTGTGTGTCAGTGTTACCTGGTTGTAGGTGTGTGTGTCAGTGTTACCTGGTTGTAGGTGTGTGCGTCAGTGTTACCTGGTTGTAGGTGTGTGTCAGTGTTACCTGGTTGTAGGTGTGTGTCAGTGTTACCTGGTTGTAGGTGTGTAAGACAGTTTCTTCCCGCGGGCAGTGAGACTGTTAAACAATTGAACTGTTGAAACAACATCAAACATTCAACTGCTACTCAGTAGTATGTATCTAATACCTAATATATATATATCATTCCAATAACTTGTATATAGACTCATACTGCACTATTCCACATCATAACTTTATTTCATTTTTATAACTATTATTATTTTGTATTGCTCTTGCTCTTATTGTTATTATGTTATGTTATTATGTTGCATTGTTGGAGAAGCCTGTGACATAAGATTTTCAACTGCATAATTACTCTGTAGCTATGTCAGATTGACAATAAAGAACCTTGAACCTTGTGCGTCAGTGTTACCTGGTTGTAGGTGTGTGCGTCAGTGTTACCTGGTTGTAGGTGTGTGCGTCAGTGTTACCTGGTTGTAGGTGTGTGCGTCAGTGTTACCTGGTTGTAGGTGTGTGCGTCAGTGTTACCTGGTTGTAGGTGTGTGTCAGTGTTACCTGGTTGTAGGTGTGTGTCAGTGTTACCTGGTTGTAGGTGTGTGTCAGTGTTACCTGGTTGTAGGTGTGTGTCAGTGTTACCTGGTTGTAGGAGAAGGCGGGGCTGCAGTCCAGCTCCTCCTCGACAGCGTTCAGTCTCTCCAGGAAGGAAGACTCTGGAGCAGTGAGCAGGTGAGGAGAGCCGGGGGGAGTCACCTGTCTGGAGGACCTCTGAAACACAGGTCAGAGGTCAGGTACCTTTGACCCAGTATATCCCTCTACTCCCTGGGGGGCCACACTCTGTGAGAGCAGTTTAGTTTGCTGTCTCTCCTTTGGCGTTTATCCTTAGCTAGGGTTAGGGTTAATAGGCGCGTTCACACCAGAGTACTTTGCCCGTTTAGTTCCGTTAGTACCCCTGATGTCGCGTTCACACCAGAGTACTTTGCCCGTTTAGTTCCGTTAGTACCCCTGATGGCGCGTTCACACCAGAGTACTTTTCCCGTTTAGTTCCGTTAGTACCCCTGATGGCGCGTTCACACCAGAGTACTTTTCCCGTTTAGTTCCGTTAGTACCCCTGATGTCGCGTTCACACCAGAGTACTTTGCCCGTTTAGTTCCGTTAGTACCCCTGATGGCGCGTTCACACCAGAGTACTTTGCCCGTTTAGTTCCGTTAGTACCCCTGATGGCGCGTTCACACCAGAGTACTTTGCCCGTTTAGTTCCGTTAGTACCCCTGATGTCGCGTTCACACCAGAGTACTTTGCCCGTTTAGTTCCGTTAGTACCCCTGATGGCGCGTTCACACCAGAGTACTTTGCCCGTTTAGTTCCGTTAGTACCCCTGATGGCGCGTTCACACCAGAGTACTTTGCCCGTTTAGTTCCGTTAGTACCCCTGATGGCGCGTTCACACCAGAGTACTTTGCCCGTTTAGTTCCGTTAGTACCCCTGATGGCGCGTTCACACCAGAGTACTTTGCCCGTTTAGTTCCGTTAGTACCCCTGATGGCGCGTTCACACCAGAGTACTTTGCCCGTTTAGTTCCGTTAGTACCCCTGATGTCGCGTTCACACCAGAGTACTTTGCCCGTTTAGTTCCGTTAGTACCCCTGATGGCGCGTTCACACCAGAGTACTTTTCCCGTTTAGTTCCGTTAGTACCCCTGATGGCGCGTTCACACCAGAGTACTTTGCCCGTTTAGTTCCGTTAGTACCCCTGATGGCGCGTTCACACCAGAGTACTTTGCCCGTTTAGTTCCGTTAGTACCCCTGATGTCGCGTTCACACCAGAGTACTTTGCCCGTTTAGTTCCGTTAGTACCCCTGATGTCGCGTTCACACCAGAGTACTTTGCCCGTTAGTTCCGTTAGTACCCCCTGATGGCGCGTTCACACCAGAGTACTTTTCCCGTTTAGTTCCGTTAGTACCCCTGATGTCGCGTTCACACCAGAGTACTTTGCCCGTTTAGTTCCGTTAGTACCCCTGATGTCGCGTTCACACCAGAGTACTTTGCCCGTTTAGTTCCGTTAGTACCCCTGATGTCGCGTTCACACCAGAGTACTTTGCCCGTTTAGTTCCGTTAGTACCCCTGATGTCGCGTTCACACCAGAGTACTTTGCCCGTTTAGTTCCGTTAGTACCCCTGATGTCGCGTTCACACCAAAAAGAGTACTTTGCACGTGCTGGGAACTTTTACCCCCATTTTCAGTGCCTGCTAGAGAGGTGGTACCAAAGGTCTTCAGGTTGGTTGGGCAGGAGCTGTGTCTGCAGCAAATATAACTTGTTGGGTTTGCAGTCACGCCCCAGAACTTTCCCTTACATTGTGGCGTCACAAGCAGGATTGCAAAGATCTAAAGAACTGGTCAAAGATCTAAAGAACTGGTCAAAGATCTAAAGAACTGGTCAAAGATCTAAAGAACTGGTCAAAGATCTAAAGAACTGGTCAAAGATCTAAAGAACTGGTCAAAGATCTAAAGAACTGGTCAAATGTCATATTTTGAACTTGCCTAACAAGAATCTGTGAGTGGTACCTGTAGCGGTTTCTTCAGTCCTCTGGTCTGCCAGACGTCTGGGTTGAGAGCTCTGATGTATTCTGGGAGGTGAAGTCAAGCTGTCTGCATCACTGAAGAAGGTCTACACACACACACACACACACACACACACACACACACATTAAACCCTAACTCTGACCAGAGAAACCTCTAACCCAGATCATCAGGTCCTCACCTCCTCAGCTGTGTCCTCCTCCTCCTCCTCTTCATCATCGGGACAATACTCTTCATCTGACGAGTCCTCATCCAGATCTATGTCCACGAACTGGGGAGGCTGAGGAGAGACAGACAGGTTCAGACAGAGAGACAGACAGAGAGACAGAGAGGCAGAGAGACAGAGAGACAGACAGGTTCAGAGAGACAGAGAGGCAGACAGAGAGACAGAGAGACAGAGAGGCAGAGAGACAGAGAGACAGAGAGGCAGAGAGGCAGAGAGACAGACAGGTTCAGACAGACAGGTTCAGAGAGACAGAGAGGCAGACAGGTTCAGGCAGAGAGGCAGACAGGTTCAGACAGAGAGGCAGACAGGTTCAGACAGAGAGGCAGACAGGTTCAGACAGACAGGTTCAGACAGACAGAGAGGCAGACAGGTTCAGACGGACAGGTTCAGACAGACAGGTTCAGACAGACAGAGAGGCAGACAGGTTCAGACAGACAGGTTCAGACAGACAGAGAGGCAGACAGGTAGGTTCAGACAGACAGAGAGGCAGACAGGTTCAGAGAGAGAGACAGAGAGACAGACAGACACCATCCTGCAGACTGACCTTGTTCACTGCTGAGAGACTCCAGTTCAGTGGCTGTAAACAGACAGACAGGTGAGAGACAGACAGGTTACATTTGTTCTGATTGCTTTCAGTATCAGAGAGGATTCTGGGAGGTTGAGTTCACCTGGCCCTGCTGAACAGCCTCTTTTAGTCTGGATCGAGTCATCTTCTGCTCCTGGTGGAAGACAGACAGGTAGGTGAGAGACAGACAGACAGGTAGGTGAGAGACAGACAGACAGGTAGGTGAGAGACAGACAGACAGGTAGGTGAGAGACA